AGGAAGGAAGGGAGGAAAGAAGGAAGAAAGGGTGTCTAATTTGAACTCACATGGCACTTTTAGGCTTTTTAGAGGTCTTTATGAACATAGGTGGAAATTAAAATGTCTAACTATTAGCATATATAAAATTTGTAATCTTGAAATCCATATCCACTGAAATAATTGTATAAGATATACTCAAATATTTCTTCTTTGTCTTCAGGTTCAGATCTTTTTCAACCGAATCGGTGTTAGGTTTTGAAGCTAAAGTCTATATATTGAAGCTGGAGGAGTGTGAAACGACAATACTGTAGAACGTTGTCAAAGTTTCAGAAAAATGAGGCTGCGGTTTGACCCAATGTCCTTGGTATCCCATTAGGCTTCCATGCTTTGATACGCTCTTGTGGGGCAAGTTTCCTGGACTCGCTCAGAGATCAGAAAACATCCTTTTCTGTGTCAAACTTGACAATGGAGTGAAAGTAGAGAAAGCAACGCTTCACCCAGAACTCGCTATTCAAGTTTATTTTCCTCTTCTTAAATGTAAAGGCTAAAATGAAAAATTTCAAACATAGAGAAGAGCAAGTCATGTAAAGTCTACCTGGGTGCCACCAATAAGATCTAACAAATGTGGACATTTTTTTGCCTGAAGAAATAAAAATAGTACAGAGACGGTGTAGATGCCCCCGTGTATCCCACTGGATCCCATTTCTCTCTCTCTCCTCAGAGGTACTAGTAATTGTTGTCTTCGAGTTGGTGGATGGCCTTTCTCACATCTCCATAGGCAGGGATTTTCATGTTAGCCTTCCTGTTGGGTGCCGAGCGGTAGGGCATTGTGATTCTAATTTTATTTTTCCAATGACTAAGGAAGTCGTCCACTTTTCATGTTTATTGACCATCTAGGTATCCCTCTGTGTGAAATACCTATTCAAGCCCTTGGCCCACTTTTAAGGTGTATGGTTTTCCATTTTCCTAAAACATTTAACGTGGGCCCTTTCCTAACTCCCTTCCACCCCCCAATTCTATGAGGCAGAAGGCGAGAGAAATGTGAAGAGGGCAAACACCTGATTCAAACATGAGGTTCGTCGGAGTTTATTCATTCAGTTGATATTGATGAGAATCCACTATGTGCTAAACACCGTGTGTCACGATGGGGACACGGCATTGAACAAATTAACAACATTCTTGCCCTCGAGGACTTATACTCTAGTGGGGAGAAGGCGAAGAATAAACTGGTGACTTTGGATGGTGATCAGTGCTATGAAGAATATCGGATAACAAGGGTGTAACTGGGATGGGGGATTCTTTGGCTAGAGCGGTGAAATAAGGATTTTCTAAAGAAATTATATTAAATCTTACATCAGAACAAGAGAAGGAGGAGCCATATAACAATCATTGGGAAGAGTATTCCAGGAAGAGGAAGTGTCAGGTGCAAAGGTCCTGAGGTAGAAACAAGTTGGTCTGAATATTACTAAGAGAGTATGCATTATCTTATTGGGACCAAAACTGTTATAATAGATGCCATGGATGCCTAATTCAGTGTCTTGCTGTTTCCAGATTCCCTGACCCCCTCATATTTCTGTGTCCCTCCCCCACATTTAATGTGGGTTTATTGCCCAGACTTGTGACAGGAATGAGACTTTGAGAGACTGACCTGGGATTAGGAGCACCTCCACCCACTCTGGTTGGCAACAGGAAGTATCTGGGGGTTACATTCCCCTTCCCGACTCGTCCAGCAGCCCTGGTGCAGTGGTTGAAGGATCCAGCTCCCGTGCCTGGAGTTGGGGTAGATTCAGGGTGTGTTTAGGCTTCAGAAAGTCAAGAAGGGCCAGGCTGCAGCCGACGTTTAGCCAGAATTGTACCACTGGCTGTCTTTCCCCCATTCATCGTACGTTTCTTCTGGGAGCAATGCCTTCATGAATCTGTTGCCCCTGAATTCTCATCCAAGGGTGTGCTTTTAGGGAACCCAACCTAGTGCGCCTTCTACCGTTGCTGTGAAGATTCCATGAAAGAATGTAGGCAAAACACTTAGCGGAGAGCCTGAGAGCCCAGCCGAGTTAACGCTCACATTTAGCTTTGATGATGAAACCTTTCAAGCTTTATCAGTGTCCATCAAAGGTCACAAGCTCTGAGTTATGTATCTTTTGTCATCCTGAAAAAATGCCCTGTGTCCCTGGGATTTGGCTGGGGCCAGGGGTGGGGCTTTGCTGGGACCTGCCAGGTGCCTCTAAGCGAAACCCTTTCATTTAATTCTGAGAAGCACCTGGCAAGAATAGAAGGTTCTATTATAATTTTTTTGAAAAAAGGACCTAATATTAAAAAAGGCTAAACTGCTTTGGGAGACATGGTGTGGAAGTTGGGGTTCCGAGGCATCCCTGTCTGGACAGAGCCCAGGCTCTTGGGAGTCTGTGTCTACTCCTAGGTCCCTCCCCGGAAGCAGCAGCGTGGTGGCTGTCATTCAGAGGGAGGTCGGGTCCTAGCTGAGAGGACTCCCACTAGGCCCAGCCTCTAATGCGGAGGCTTCTTGCCAGGGGCGGGGCTCCAGGGGTCCGCCAGCCTTGTGTGATGTTCTGAGGTTGTTCCTGGGCAAAGTCCATCTTCAGTCCCCAAGCCGGCCTGCAGCTCAGTGTCTGGGGTCACAGCTGCGGTCACCAGTATCCATGCTGACTCCTATCTGCTCACTAGCCGCCCAGACCCGCCTGGCCCTCCAGGTCCCAGAGCTTTTAAAGTGAGGCCGGTTTGGGGCAGGAGGCTGAGTCAGGCTGCCACACCTGCACGCAAACCTGATGGGGGTGGGGTGGGCGCGCCTGCTTCTGGAGCCTCAAATCCCAGATGCAGACTACAGAGCCAGGATGGCCTGGGAGCCAGGCTGGAACCCCTCCCGGCTCTCCCACCTCTCACACTAAGTGCGGCGCTAGCAACGCGCAAGGAAACCAAGTTCTGAGTCGGCCGGGTCAGCCGCCCTCCTGCCTCCTTAGAACTTCCTATTGGGGTAACCAAACTCGCTCCTCCTAAGCTAACCACGTGCGACCCTCCCTTACAAATGCGAGCCTTCCAAAAGCTGGGGGAGACTTCCCAGCGGTCCAAGAGGCATTTCAGGTTCTGGGGCGATGCCATCTTGCTCCCTTAGGAGCACTGCTTACTTACCCTCTCATTTGCCCCAGAGAGGGTAGGGCCACTCAGGCGACGCAGACGCGGGAGGGTGCAGGCCCCCTCCCAGGGCGCCTGGCGCGCAGTGGCTCCTCCCGCTATTGCGAGTCCCGGATCCAAGTCCAGCGGCTCCCTGGGCCCCACCCACAGCCCCGCCGCCCCGCAGAGTAGGGATTGAACTGGGTTCTTTTTTTTACAACTATTTTGCATTTTCCTTCCTCCTTGGTTAGCAACCGCATCCTGTCGCAGGTTTCTCTCAATGCTGTTTCCTTTTCAAGAGAGCACCCTTGATTCGAGCAGATTGAAACCCATCCTGTACTTCAGTCCAGGAACACATCGCCAAGTTCACAGACATAGACAGGCAAGCCTGTGGTCAGTGTCACAGAGGAGCCCTCTGCTTGCCGGCGTCGGGGTGTGGGTACGGTGCCAGCAGGCTCCGAGGCAGGGTCGCCGCGAGGAAAGCAGGACCAAAAGTGATGAATGAGCATTCTTACCGCCTCCTCTGCATGCGGGGGGGGGGGGGGGGGGCGAGCGCGCGGAGGGAGCCGCCTGCAGTTTTCCTGGACAGCAGCTTTTTCTGGGAGCTGGAGGTGGACCCTCTGGTGCCCCTGGATCCGGCAGGGACGGGGAGGGCTCCTGGGAGCCGACCCCCGCCGAGAGCCGCCGGAGAGCAGGTGTGCCCCCAGCTCCCTGAAGATTTCTCTAAACAAAATGTTGCTTTTGCTAAGGGCTTTCTCCACGCGGAGGCCTCCAGCCGCAGGGCATTTTGACTTCCTCGCCCCCCAGCCCCGAATCTGGCTGTCTGCTCTTGTTTTTAGTAAAAGTATAAAAAGAATCTAAAGTGTTAGCTCCGGAGGGGAAAAGTGGAAACACGGCAAGTGACACACGCGACTCTGGCTGCTCTCAGAGAAGCCCACTCCAAAGCAGAAACCCAAAGAAAGCGAACACTGCACATGCACATGCACGGTTTAAAAGTGAAAGTTGAGGTCGTTGCTTTGTGGTTATTTTTCTAAACGGGGCATGAGAGGCGAGTGCTCTGTGGAACACATTTTTTAGGTTTAATTCCCCCAAGGACAGAACTTTAGCCACACACTTCTAGATAAGAAGTAGATTTTAATAATAATAATAGTAATAAAGTGTTGGTTAAACTTACCTCAGGAAAAGACATCATCAAAAAGACATTTTTTTTCTACCCTTAATGTGTGCCTGGTACTGTGTAGGAGCGTCAGAATACCATTTTGCTTAGGTTTTCAAGGCATTTGGGCCTAAAGTAATTTATATAAAAAAAAAAGAAAAAGAAAAAAGAATTCAAATAAAATCGATTGAAATCTATTCTACAGGTTCTTTCCCCCCACTTTGGGGGGTATATAGGATACCCATTGATTGCTCCTATGAAAACTGTGACTTCTGTTTTGAAGGAATTAACAAAGAAAACCCAGGCTGAATAAATCAACACCCAGGTTCAGAAGTTCAGAGCATTTGTCTGGGAACAAAGTCTCCCCCAGAGCTGAGAGGCATTCAGAGGCAGCTCTTGGTGTTAATGGGAATGTTAAAGATATACCTGAGACCAGATAAATATTTGACGATTTCACCAAGCACTAAGGCTTCTTCGCAGTTTTTCTTCTGCTGACACATTTCCCCCATGGGGCCTGGACCTTGTGGCTTCATTACACTTTGCAAATGAAGGAAGGCGGGGGTTTTCCAAGAGTGCGCTGGTGTGGAGGAGCTTTGCTGGAAGCAGCAGACCGGGCTTTACAAAGAGGGGTGTGTGTGCGTGCATGCATGCATGTGTGTCTGCATTTGTATTGGGGGTGGGGGTGGGGGTGGCACGGGGAGGGAGGGAGGGAGGGAGGGAGGAAGATGTGGATTACAAAGCTGCCATCTAGAGGCGCCTTCCTGCAGTGTATATAATGTGAGTCTGCAGCCTTGGAGCTCACAGTTCCTCCAAACTGCTCAGCCCCAAAGGCAGGCAGGGAGCGTAGGAGCCAGGGTAGGAGCCAGGAGAGCGAGCCCTCAGTGAGAGACAGCGGAGGTAAGGAAACTGCTCCCTCTTCACCCGGTGGGAAGGAGGGGAGGCGGCGGCGGGCAGGGTTTCTGCTCCTAAGCGGAGTGGTTTGTCAGAGGCTTCTTTCTCAGGGCTGTGATGGGTGCTTGCGATCGCGCAGGTCTGCCTTCTGAGAGCCCGGCTGCTTGTCGCATGGCTGCGTCGCTCAGGGTGCCTACCACCGCGGGGAGGGGAGGGGGGCACCTCTCCCTGCAGAGAGTGAAAAAGGCAGTTTTCTTAGGTCACTGGTGGAAGGAACTTCCGTGTGTTGGTTGGGTTTGGGAATCTGGTGTTTATTTGCTGCTGTGGGGACTTCAGCTCCAGTACGCTGGGGACTTGGGGAGACTGCAGGCTGTTCACTCTGCTTCTCAAAGTTGGCACAAGGGTCCGCTTGGCACCCCGCTTCCCTTCTGGTATATCAACTGCCAAACAGAATCGGCAGTCCACGTGCAGTCCCAGAAAGATGTACACTTTGTTCAGAGGCACCCTGAAGTGGAGCAGAAAACTGCTGAGAATCTCGGATGGTCCCGAGTGCATCTGCATTCAGTGCCGTGGGGGACCACTGGGTCCCGGGAGCCAGGGAGCTCTGCGGCTAAATGTGACACAGGGCCCTGCCTTCTGGTCTCCTAACGGCATCCTTGCTCATCTAACCTGAGCATTTCTTGTTCTCTCAGAAGGTTAGTCCAACTTCAGTTGGCGAAAAGAGTCACAAGTCTAGGATTTTGTCATGTAAATATACTCTTCAGGTAAAACATAAATTTTGCTCGGTTTTGTTAGTATGCTCAAATATTGAGGGGGCATCTGAGAATAACAACTTTGGAGTGAGGGCAAAGATGGGTGGTTAACTATGACTTGTAATTTCCAGACGGAATGAGAAGTTGTAAAAGTCAGACTGACTGTCTCCCTTGTTCTTTTCTCTTCCCTTCCCTTTCCTTTTATTTTCTTCCTTTCTTTTCTTTCTCTCTTTCTCATGATTCATTTGATCACAACAGAATAATTACATTTTCCAGAAGTGGAAGTCACCCCCCAAATGGTTTACAGCCTTTTGAAGGTATTTGGTGCAGGGACACCCCCTGAAACTTCACTCTGCAAAGTCTCAATGTGATAACTTTTCCTTCTCTTTTTAAACACAGATGCTGCCTTTGTGTGCCTTTATTTATGCCAGGAAAATGCCAGATCAAATAGGCTTGCTTAGAAAAGAAAGTGGAGGCTGCTGGTGTCTGTGCTGAACTGTCTGTAGATTTTTAATGGATAAAGCGGTGCCTTCCTTCCACCAGCATGCGCTTCCCGACGCTCAGCCTTCTCTGAGGCAGAGTTGCACACGGAGCTCTAGCTTGGAAACAATTCACTCTTTTTCCCCCTGTCTCTGCCATAAACACTCCAGTGTACACACAACTGCTAAGCTTGAGGCCACAACCTCCTGGGGGTAGGAGGGGTGGGGAGTGGAAAAGCAAAAGAAAAATTGAGAAAAAATGCAGGTGGAAAGGCAAAAGAAAATTGGAAAGTGCCTATTTTGCTGCCCATGTGATTTTTTTAAAGGGCAGCACATCACAATCACAGTTTAAAGAAAGTTCTGGAAAGGATAGCCGAGGCAGCATGCCTGTGCTTAAAGGGAGTTGGGACTCTGGAGGTGAGGTCATGCCCTGTTAACAGCAAGTCCTGAGAGAATGGAGAAGGTATTATGGTTTCTAGTCAGGCCCAGAACAGGCCAAGTATAGACTTTCTGAATTGAAGAAAAAAAAAAAAGCCAAACAAAAAAAACTATTTACGCAGGAACAGTGGCTTTTTGTGTGATTATTCTAGTTATGGAGGTTCCTGTTTTCCAGGCGACACCAGGGAAGTTGGTGGCAGTTTCTCAAACCTGAGGCCGAGAGTCATTCTAAACCCTGAGAGTAACCGACGGGAAGAAAAACAACCTTAACGATTCCAGGGCGAGATTTTCCCCAGTGATTTTGCAGAACACGAGCAGAATTGGGAGCTGAAAAGTATTTGCACTTTTAAATTAGGCAACTGAGAAACTTAATTTTACTCTTGGGAACAAAAATGGTACTAGAATGCCTTCCAAGTGGGCAGGTGCAATTTAGAAACTGTACTTAAAGTCCAGAAAATTATAGCTCCAGGACACATATTTGCTATTAAAATCATGACAAGCAAAAAAAAAAAAAAAGGAAAAAGAAACAGGGATGGTTCTCTAATCTGGACTACCTGAATGCTCTCTGCAGGGGTATTGCATGCTTTTTAATGTAAGAATCTACTAATTTAGAATTGGAAGGGGGGGCATTATTGCTTCGTTATTAAAGTGATGGGGGAATTTGCATAATTTTGTAGCCAAAATTTTGCTGAGCCAGGAGTAGGTTTGGAAGCTGACCTGTGTTTTCCAAGTGCCCGAAGGGTGGAGAGCTGTGACTGTCCCAGGTGGCCTTGACCTGCTATTGGCTAAGGGGCAGCGTGGGGACCTTTTGTGGGGATCTGTCTCAGTTTGAATAGAAGAGCCTGAGATTGTGGAGCATTCTCCTGGGAGCCCCATTGTGTGTGCCGGGCGCCGTGAGTGGCTCAGCCTGGCTGACCTCCTGCTGCCCGGACCCAGTCCTAAGCTGGGTGGGAATTAGGGCTCTAGTTACACTCGGCCAACCCAGGCGGCAGCCTTTGTGACGTGGGGCCTCTGGGTCTGCCTTGCTGGGTGCAACTCCACTTCCCTGTCGGGCAGCTGAGCACAGCAGGCCAGATTGGGTTTCTGGATGTGGGGTTCATTTTATCTCCCAGTACTTAAGTGGATGAGGGTGCCCCCAGAGTTAACATGATGTATGACTGAGGACCCCTGGAATAGGTGGCCTGTACCTGAATTAGGGTATGGCCTTTTCTTTCCTTCTTTTTCTCTCTCTATTATTTTTCCAGTTCTCAAGTGATTCAGAGCAGTTCTTTACTTGTGTAGACTATGGTCACTCAGGGTCACTCTGTGTGTGTGTGTGTGTGTGTGTGTGTGTGTGTGTGTGTGTGTGTGGTCCAGTCGGCACTGTCCTCTGTTTGTTGGGACTGGGGGACAGACCGCCGCAGTGAGCTCTGGCCACAGGAGCTGCTGGGGCTGAAGCCTTCTGGACTGCCCCATAGATTTACTGCGGGATTGGTAACAAAAATCTCCAAAATGAAAACCAAACCTGTCATGTGCAGCTGCCTAATGGTTCTCTAGGCCCAGCGGATCCTCCTCATCTAGGCGCCGTTTAGAGGGGTGGGCCTTTACGCAGGCCCGAGCACGGTTCCCCCGGATAAAGTCCCTGGAGGAGTTGGGAGAGGGGTAGCTGGCCCCTTCTGCCCTGCCTCAGTCTCCAGGTGATCGCCTCTGGGGACAACACTGAGTTGCTCCCCAAACTTCAGTTCTGGGAGGACACCGTCCCAAATCGCAGGAAGCTGTTACAGAAGGTCCCCGTAGGCAGAGGTCCTGAAAGGGCCAGAGGGCCAGGGGCCCCTGTGACTGAGAGGTGCCCGAGACCCTGCCTGGCCTGCCTTATCTTACCTGCCCCACTGGAGACTGGGAGCGCCTTCCTCCCCGAGGTGTCCTGCCTCCAGCCTGCTCCGCACCCTGCCACCACAAGCCTACCCGGTTTGTGTCACCTCCATCCTCAGAAGCCTTCTCTGCACCAAAGCCACTCGCTTGCTCAAAACCCTTGTGTCTTCTGCAGGGACGGGCCCAGCCTGACCCCTCACCCCCACCAAGTCCTGATTCTTGCCTCCAGCTATTCAGCCGGGTTCACTGACCCTCTCCTTTCTCCTTGAAGGCCCCACAGGCCTCAGGAGTGGAAATCCCTCACCTCCTGCCCCAGGGCGGCCCCGACCTCTGCTTCCTGACCCTCTGGTGAGCTGGTGAGCCCTTGGGGGCAGGGCGGTGACCATGCTGGCTCGCTGTGCCCCAGCGTACAGCCCCCACGGAGGAGGCTCCACAAACATTTAGGGGCATGAAAAGGGGGGATGGTATCTCCGCTCAGTGGGGATTTCAGAACAATTGCTTCTGGATGCCCATCTCCAGTGATGGCCTCAGATCTCTGGTCTCAGTGGGGCTTGATGAACTACTGATTCATTGACTATTGATTCATTGAACATCTACTTTGGGCCAGGCGACTTTGCAGGCGTGTCTGAGGATGAATGATGTCGTGGCAGGAGAAACGTAAACCAGGCCAGGACGCAGCATGGAGATGCCGGCCTGGGTGGGAGGAGGCCGGAGAAGCAGGGGACACGTTATTTGGGATGGGAGGGGCTGAGGGGTTAGTCGGGAAGGGTCTGTTGGTCTGTGATGGGAAATTGCAAACATATTGAAGATGATTTAGGTGAACACTAGCCAGACCCTGAACACTTGGCAGTCCCTCCTGGAGGGAGTGACTGTTGGCCGAGAAGGGACAGTTTACTGCAGGACAAATCGCCACCCCGTGGGGACGCTAAGCTTGGAGGCCTCTGATTCTGGCTTGCCCCCAGCCCCCCCGGGTGAGCTTAGGCAAAGCATTTGGATGCAGCTGAATACCTCAGGCCACTGGCTGCTGCTCACTGGTTGCCAAGGATACTTGGTGGGAGAATAATGAGCCTGAGAAGTGAGAGGCACGTCCCCAGGGACGTCCTTGTGGGACAGAGAGGAGCCCTTCCACCATGTGGGACATCAGTAGTAGACGAAGCCCTTGCAGACCCCAGACAGGGAGGGTGGCAGATGCTGGCCCTCTGCAGGCCCAGGACGAGCCACTGTCCCTTGGGGCAGATGTGCCATGTGTCCAAGTGCAGGTGTGGGACGGGGACTTCGTGGGCTCTAGGCGACTCGTGAGATAAAACACGGGAAGTGTCGGGAAAGAGGGAAGGGACAGCGACCTTACTGCTCTCTGTTCTCACTTGGGTGTCTGTGGTCCAGAAACATGGAATGTGAACCTTTAATGTTTTCTGAAACATCCATGCCTCTATTAAAATTTATGTAATTATTTTATTTTTCAATTACCGTTGACATCCAATATTATATGAGTTCCAGGTGTACAGCACGGTGGTTAGACATTTATATAACATATGAAGTGATCCCCCCAATAAGTCTAGTAACCACCTGGCACCATCCACAGTTATTACAATATTATTGACTATATTCCCTGTGCTGTACTTTATATCCTCATGACTGTTTTGTAGCTGCCAATTCATAGTTTTTAATTAAAATTTACATAATTCTTAATGTCAGGTTTCAAATAATACAGAGGTTTATAGTGTCAAAAGTGCAATCCCCGCTTTGTCCTCTCGCTCCACCCTCCTTGGCCAAAGTTTTATACGTAATGTGATTGTTCTTGTGCCTTTAAGCACAGACATTTAAATATAAAAACACACATAAGGTTTGCCCCTTTTTACACGAAAGAGAGCGTGCTCTGTGTATGTGTGCGGATCTGAACAGCATAGTAACTTTCTACATTCATAAGAGTCGGTCACCTCACAGCTAAATTATATTCCACAGTGGATACGCCGGATTTATTGAACCATTTCTCCATTGATTGGCATTTTTGTCTTCAGATTTTACTAGCATGTAACCTGCACGCCAATAAACGTTCTTGCGTGTACACTTGGGAACATGCGAATCTTTCGAGAGGAGGAATGTGTGCACTATGAGGTCATGGAACTGGAAACATCTTTTATTCTATGCCCGTATTTTTCCTCCTCTCAGGAACACCTGACAGCCTAAGTGCCTGCAGTGGGGCTCATGCCCTGGCCCCTCTTTGGTGTGGGCTCAGAGTCACAGGGTGCAGGCAATGGGTAGCTTTGACTGACACCATGAAGTTGTTCCTAAACTTCAGCCCCAAGAATGGCTGGTTCATTCTGAGGCTGGTAAGGGCGTCACCTCCAGGTCCTGGTGGTTACCAGCCCCACCACGGCCTCCCAGCAAAGCAGACCAGCTGCACTGGCCAGTGCAGAGGCGCTCACACGTGTACACCAGGGCTCTCAGCTCTGTGTCCTGGACAAGGGGCCCCCTGCTTTGGCTGGAGCGGAGCAGAGATGCCGTGCAGGTGGTCAGGGAGCTCACGTGGCCACAGGGGGTTCAGTAGATGCTCCTTCCCTTCCTGCACCCTCAGACTTTGCTGGGCACTTAGTGGCCAGGCCTTAAACAGGCATCTGCGTAGACAGTTCATCGTCTGTGTTTCATGCCTTTGTTCATATTAGGCTCTGAGAGCCTCCCTTGTTAAAACGGAAGCCGATGATTTAGGCAGATTCTGTTCTCTGGTGGGGTCCACGCTGTCAGTGTAATGGCATGAAATGAGCCTGCCCTGCCCCCCCACCCCCCCCACCCCAGGCCTCCCAGACACACGCTCAGCACCCGGGCCTTGCTGAGAGTGCACACCACACAACGGGGCCAAATCATAGTCTTTTCTCCTGACACAACCCTGGCTCCCCACACTTAATGCATGAAAAATATCGAGATGGCAAAGGCTGAGCGATTGGGTGGCATTTCCCCTCCCGGTTTCCCATTTGACTCTGCGGAGGATCCGATGGCTGTGCTGTTTCCCACCTCCTTTCTCTGTGTTTCCCTTCCTGCTCTGACCACCAGAGCCTTCTGCGGCGGAGGTGGGGGCACTGTGGTTCCCAGAAGAAGGCACGTGGGCCTTTGGCTTCACCTCCTGGGCTAATTGGTGATCAGTAATCAGTGATCAATGATCAGTGATCAGCAGGGCAGCTGAACTTCACAGTCCACCCACTGCTGGACGATCCCCACTGTGCCACCCGGGAGAGGACGGCTGCGGGGAAGTGTGCCTGGTCACGAGTGACCATGGTCACTGCATCAGCCTTTCACTGCCCATCAGGCAGAGGCAGGAAACCCTCTGGCAGCAGTGAGAGGTGCAGGGGAATGGAGGGGCCCAGAAGGACGCATTTGCCTGCTGATTTCCTGGGGACCGCACACAAGAGGCAGGTGTCCCCTGATTTTGTACCCCTGCCCCTGAGTAGGTCCGTCTGTCCATGCCTGAGTGAGCTGGGTATCTCCTGAGGTGAAGAAAGACATGGGGGAACTTGGCATCTGCTCAGGCTAACAAAGGCCCCTGTGATGGGCCCAGACCCCAGGATTTATGGCTGTGGCCGAGGCCTTGTAGGCTGTGCCAATGCGGACGGAGAAGGAGCCCCAGCCAGGCACCAGCCAGTGGCTTTCCGGTCCCAGGACCCCACCCACCTCTGTCTGGCTGCCTGGCTGTGGCTTGTCCGAGCTCCTCCATCAGCAGTGGGACACTGAGACCTGGGTAGGTCACCTGGAGGGGAACCAACTGCCTCTTACAGCCCAACAGGGGAGAACTCCCAGAAGCCCGCAGGCAGCCTCTGGTGACTGTGATTCAAGGGTAGGTTGCCTGCCCCGGGTTTTGAGGCTGAGGAGCCAGCTCGTCCGGGGAGGCAGCAGAAAGTCTCATTTCTCAGGGACTCTGTCCATTTATCCCGGAGGTGAACCGACTGCGCGTCTTCGTGTGAGCTCCTGCATGTCTCCATGGCGGGGACACAGATTACTTTGCCTGGAAGAGTCAGCTTCAAATATGCAGCAAGAACTAAGCCAGGGTATGCTTTTCACTAAAGGGAGGGGGAGGGCAGAGAGAAGTTTTAGTGAGCATGTGCTAAGTGTTAGATTCTGCTTTAGGGTCTTTAGTTCCAAGGCACCGGTGTCCTGAGAAGTAGTGGGAGAACAGGTTAACTTGTCTCAAGTTAATATTAACTAGTGAGGAGCCAGAATCCCATCCCAGGAGGGCGGGGCGGGGGGGAGAGAGGAGGTCTGTTCTCAGGGGGGAGCTTTTCCCAGCTATCTCTTCATACCGTTAGCATGGCCACTAGGGCACTGACCCACGAACGGACCATTGACTTCCCTCCCGGGGAGTTGTCATGTGTGACCTGGAGTCCACTTGGCAAATAAACTTGACTTGGTCAGTTATTACCTGGGTCAGGTGAGAAGGAAGCACCAGCACCTAACCCTCACCACGGCCCGTGCTTATTTTCATTTTACGTCTCCTCTCATAGTCACGCGGACCCAGGGCCGTGCCATGGAAGGATTTCAGGGCCCTGGGGGGGACAGGGCAGTGGTAGAAGACAGGCCCTGGCAGCTCCCAGGGCTGATGAATTCCTGGAGGAATCATTGCCAAGCACAGTGGTATCTTGGGCTGGATCCTCCGTGGGTGCTACATGGGGACAATTCAGAGTTGGCCTCACGTCAGGTCAGCGGGAAAGACAAGTTGAGAAACTCGTCGGCCCCTCCAGGAAGGCAGCCGGCGGTGATTTTTGTGCTTAGGGTCTTGGCACACATTGCTCTTGAAGCAACTGGGCAGATAAAACATGGGAAGCCAGGCGCTGGCCCAGCGCTTGAGGCAGCTGCTTGGGCGCCCTGGGTTGGGAATCACACAGCAACACCAGAGTCTGCGGGCCTGGAGCTCGGTCAGGCTGCAGGGTGCTCGGCATGCTGACCACGTTTCCAGGGGTCTACACGTCTGCAGACGGGGGCGGCAGGAGACCTGGGTTTGTGTGCTGATTTTGCAGACGGGTGAAAAGCACCAGTCCCATTTTTAATGCAAATTTGGAAGAGAATCTGAATCAATTTCATTGAGATACCAGAGCAGGGCACTGGTAAGGAACAGATCAATTCTGCCATTTTTGGGGGGTGTAGGTGAAACGCCTCCACTGTCCACTGAGAGCCAGCCGGCCATCCGCATCAGCTGCCTGACATTTCTCTGGCCCCTGGATTGTGCTGATTTCATACCCTGGGCACAGCCAGGCTGGCGATGTCTTACAAACACAGCCGTGGAAAGATAAAGCAAGCACTGTGTCTTTGAGCACCATGTGGCTTTAGATTCTGGGTGTGTTTGATTTCGTTTTGCGGGGTTCTGCTATGGTTGTTTTCTTTAAAAATTCTACAGCACTGGAGTGAAACAGTTGCGTGTACGGGTGCTGAAAAAGCATTTTGACTGAAACTTGAATGTTTCCTAACGAAGCGATTTTTCTCTTCCATCATTTTGGTTTGATTTTTTTCGTGCAGGCCACTTGATCGCTGCCCTCGACACCATGGATTTGCATCTGTTCGACTACTCAGAACCAGGGAACTTCTCTGACATCAGCTGGCCATGCAACAGCAGCGACTGCATCGTGGTCGACACCATGACGTGCCCCAACATGGCCAACAAGAGCGTTCTGCTCTACACGCTGTCCTTCATCTACATCTTCATCTTCGTGATCGGCATGATTGCCAACTCTGTGGTGGTCTGGGTGAACATCCAGGCCAAGACCACTGGCTATGACACGCACTGCTACATCTTAAACCTGGCCATCGCCGACCTGTGGGTGGTGGTCACCATCCCGGTCTGGGTGGTCAGCCTTGTGCAGCATAACCAGTGGCCCATGGGTGAGCTCACTTGTAAGGTCTCTCACCTCATCTTCTCCATCAACCTCTTTGGCAGCATCTTCTTCCTCACCTGCATGAGTGTGGACCGCTACCTGTCCATCACCTACTTCACCAACACCTCGAGCCACAGGAAGAAGGTGGTTCGTCGTGTCGTCTGTGTCCTCGTGTGGCTGCTGGCTTTCTGCGTGTCCCTGCCCGACACCTACTACCTGAAGACTGTCACGTCCGCATCCAACAACGAGACCTACTGCCGGTCCTTCTACCCCGAGCACAGCGTCAAGGAGTGGCTGATCAGCATGGAGCTGATGTCTGTGGTCTTGGGCTTTGTCATTCCTTTCTGCATCATCGCCGTCTTCTACTTCCTGCTGGCCCGAGCCCTCTCGGCCTCCGGCGACCAGGAGACGCACAGCAGCCGGAAGATCATCTTCTCCTACGTGGTGGTCTTCCTGGTGTGCTGGCTGCCCTACCATGTCGTGGTGCTCCTGGACGTCTGCTCCATCCTGCACTACATCCCCTTCACCTGCCAGCTGGAGAACTTCCTCTTCTCGGCTCTACACATCACACAGTGCCTGTCCCTGGTGCACTGCTGTGTCAACCCTGTGCTCTACAGCTTCATCAACCGCAACTACAGGTACGAGCTGATGAAGGCCTTCATCTTCAAGTACTCGGCCAAAACAGGCCTCACCAAACTCATCGACGCCTCCCGGGTGTCGGAAACAGAGTACTCCGCTTTGGAGCAAAACACCAAGTGAGGCCCAGTCTCGGGATGCGTGTGCTTGCTTTCAGCAGGGCTCCCAGCTGCCTGGGGGCTTAAGACAGGAGCAGCGTGCCGAGGGGGAGGCGTGCCACTGTGCTTCCTCCCCGCCTCTCTCATGCCTGCGTGGCCGTCACGTGACTGTGACCCCGACAGTGCATCCTGCCGGGCTGTGCCACCAGCTGATGCCACTTGTCAAAGCTGGTGGCCGGAGGGGCCTGCCTGCACTTCTGTACAGTAGGACTCTCTGTGTTTCCTGAAGGTTTTCTATGGTGATTTGTATTTAAATGCTAAAACTTTATTTTCTCACTCTTGGCATACCTTATAAATGTATCAGAAAGTTTAAATATTTTAAATGCTGTATGGGAAGTATAACGCTGACATGTAATCGTGTTGTAGTTTTAATTAGCCTGACTTCGGTTTTGACGATGGATGACGTTGACTGTTAGCTGTTGTGAAATTATATATAAATATATAAATATATACATCTATGCCAGCCTCGGCGGAAGTGTTTTATTTACGACAGTTTTCTATCTGGGTGGCGCTTTGTACTGGCATGAGGTGTGCGACGAGAACTGCCCTGTAATGCAGTTTCTGACATTAATCGTATCTGTAAACTTATATTGAAATAAAACAAACAAAAAAAAGCAAAACTGTTCAGGCTTCAACGCTGTGCATAAAGCAAACGGCGTAGGTCAGAGAATTCGCTCAACCTGTAAGTTATTGTTTTAAAAATAAAGATCATTTTGTTTTTCCTAAAAAAGGCATTTAAGTCTGTTTTAAAAGCATGTTTGGCATTTAGGTGGCATGTATGATAATAACTTACAAAGACACACAGCATATACAGGTCAACATATAATGAATATGTTTTTAAAAGAGAGTACTACCATAAAGGCACAACACCAAATGATGCCAACTTGGGTGAAATGGTATATAGAAAAAACATTTGAATGCATTGAATTTTTTAAAAAATTTATTTAAATTTCACATAACATGTTTGAAGGAGGGGAGGTGGCTGGGAGGTGCAGCTGTCCAGACAAAGTTGGTACCAGAAAGTTCCCAACTGCTCTCGGCCCGAAAGGTTCAGGACGCAGCACTCCCAGGTCCCCAGGGCTACACATCACGGCCCTTGAATCTTCCTTGCTAGGGTTCTGTGACTTAAAGCCTTATTTCCTTCCTCTGTTCAGGAAAATCTCTTCATTTAAAGACTATCCCATCAATGACCTTGTTCTTGAGGCCATGCAATGACTGAGTTACCAAATCAACCTACATAGCTAGTTAGAAAGAGCACAGAATGGCCGATTCGGCTGAGCCCTCACCAACTGGACACGGGCCACAGCAGTGGCAGAGACATCGGCCGCAGGTTCGTCTGGGCAGGAGCTCAGAGAAGGCCTGGCTCGCCAATGCTCCCTTATCACATCCAGGGTGACGGGACCGATTTGCACAGAGAGCAGCTATCTGCCCACGCAGAGGTGGCCTGGGACCAGGAGCTGTGAATGCGCACCGAATGGGGTGAGGGAATAGCTGTTGGCTGCAGGGAGATCCCCACAGCTCCCTCCTGGAGGTATGGGCTTTGCCTAGCTCAGTGAGGTCTCTGGGTGGACACAGGTGCTGAGATTTCAGTTCTCCGGGGCGATGTTTAAGAGCTTGAAAGACCCTATCCAGTTTTATGGAATACTTCCCACCCTGCCCCTAGCCCTGGACTCCCGAGGAGGCTCCACCACAGCCTGGATGGCACACTCACACGCAGGGCCCGCTAGGATCCCAGATCTTCTTTCCAGCAACCTGATACCCAGTGATTCGGGTTGGGGAAGGCGTGAGAGGAAATGGACTCATTGCAGGCAGTTTGCATTTGCAGGGCTGTTTTGCTTTCTCCTTCTGGGTGGCTGATGAAGGCCCAACTTCACACAGTGCCAGCAGAGTCTACTTACCTAACACACCTCTGCACTCTCACACACGCACATGCGGATTCGTTACCCTCCATGTGACTAACACACGTGTCCTGGACATGATGTCCATGGTCACGTCCAGGACGGTCCTAGCCAGGGACTGAGTCACAATGTTGAGGTCCATCTCCTAGAATCCGGGGCTGCCGCCAGAGTGTGGGCAGCTGAGTGTGTGGTCCAAAGAGCCGTCACTATGAATGTCCTGGGGAACTTGGTGAAACCTCAGTTTCCTTGTTTATGAAGCCAGATGTGCTAGTACCTGCTTCCTAGGGTCGCGGTGATGATCAAATCCTGCAGTCTCTCCCTGTAGGCCGCCCTCAGGGTGCCAGGGCACATGACTGCGTGCTCAGGCTGCACCCGTCCGTCCGCAGTCTCTCAGCACAAAATGCACTTGCTTTACAAGAAACAGTGCATTTCAAAGAAATAAAGTGACAGCCCTCTGCCTGTGGGAAGCGACTAGAGGAGTAAGAAACATCTGCCTTAGTCAGTGGTTCTCAACGGGGGTGACTGTGTCTGGGGCCATTTGTGGTTGTCTCCACTCGGGATGGGGCGCTGTTGGCATCTAGTGAGGAGAGGCCAGGGGTGCTGCTGGACACGCCACACAGGACAGGCCCACGACAAAGGCTTCCTTAGCCCCAAAGATCATCAGAGTTGAGGTTGGGAGACCCAGTTCTAGGATAAAGCCAACGATTAAGACAGAATTCTGGACGGTATTCATCACCTCTGCGATGTGCTCTGAGCAGGAACTTCGACAATCTCAGGGCTGGGGTACATCCCAGGGTCCCTAGAGCCTCATTTTTTTGCCCCTAACCTCTGCATGGATATATGGATGAGATCTACACCAATATTCTCATTGTGACTGAATATTTCAATGACAAGTTTGTTTGGTTCATCAACAGTTTACATAAAAGACATGCTCATGAAAAAGGTATGTGCAGATTAAACGTTAGTCAAACTTTAAGTGTGGTTTGAACTTTCGATTTAATGTTTACCATCTTCCCTTCAAAAGTCCCCAGCAAGAGCATCATGGTCCATGGCCGGGCGGCACCAGAAGCCCGGGTGACCGCTTCAGTTCTGCTTCTCAATAGCTCCACGACGTGGGCAGTGTTTCACTGTGAACTTCAGTTTGCTCACCCTCACAATGACTTCCCCACCTCCTTGGAAAGGCGGCTGCAGAGGTCACGGGGAGCGTGTATGCCAATAAACACTGCTGAGTGAACGAATAACAGGGTGAGCGAGTGCTTAGAAACCGTGGAGGGCAGGCCGCACTGAGGTCCCTGAGCACTTCCCGAGCTTTTTGCATGTTTCAGTCCATCCGGCCCAGTGCTTAACTGACACGCCGTGTGGGAGGACGTAGCATCAGCATACATCACACCTCGTGTGTTCAGGCTTGTCTGAAGTCCACCAATGGGTTACGCTCACCTGTGTGTTGCTGTGGGTCACCGCATACATGATCTCCATTTAGATCAGCAGTTCTCAACCTGTGGGTCTCGACCCCTTTGGCGATCGAACGACCCTTTCACAGGGTTCTCCTAAGACCATCCTGCATATCAGATATTTACATTACGATTCATAACAGTAGCAACATTACAGTTATGAAGTAGCAACGAAAGTAATTTTATGGTTGGGTCACAACATGAGGAACTGTATTTAAAGGGCCAGAAGGTTGAGAACCACTGATCTAGATGCTCAGGTTCTGCTTCCCAGGGACTGAGATACTTGGCCGTGGAGGGAGCACTTGTCCTCATGAAAGAGGCCTGGTTATCGGTAGGGTATGTGGAGAGCGATGGGTAATTTTGGTGTTTTTCTTATTTTCTAAAGCTTCCTTTTTGTTGGCTTTTCATATGCTTATGACCTTAGACCTTTCCATGTGGGATTCAGAAGGGCTGCCAATCATGTCATTTCTCAGGGTTGGGGGTGGGGGAAGCAGTGGCTTCATCAGCCATTTGTCACAATGTAATGCCCAGAAGCAGCAGAATGGGAAAATCTGAATTTCCATAGTGATTTCTGGAACTAAACTGATTAAAATAATTCCCTAGGTAGGTCGGAATCTTCCCTTTCAGCCAGAGCGCGTCATGGTGGCGATGGCATTAAATCTGCTTGGATGACTCCGAATGTATGTTGGCACGGCAACATGTCACGGGGCGAGCTGCGAGCGTGGTGGTGGTGGTGGCCGGGCCTGTGTGAAAGGGCCCGGGCTGCGCCGCACCCGCTGGATGTGCTTCCTGTTAGCCTTTCACAGGCAAGCGTTTGAGGCTGAGCTTTTCATTCCTTTTGCAGAGCTGTGGTCAATAGGAGGCCGCGTCCCGGTCTCCCCACCGCTGCATTTCTCAGGGGCGGTGTGAGGAGTGTGGACTGTGATTTGTGTGGTGCAGTAAAGAGCATTTGAATTTTGTGTGGAGCCTGAAGTGTCGATGGAAAATCGGCAGTTGCCCAGCTGCGCAGCTGACGAATGTCTTTCTCTGCGTTTTTTTCCGCACGCGTACCCGCTCCTCTACTCACCCATCCAGGCCTTTGTTCATTCGATCACGGAGCGGACAAGCTGTGTTGAGCACCCACTGTGTGCCAGGCACTGCACTTGTCTCTCTAAAACAGCGGTTCTCAAGCTGTGGGTCGCGACCCTTTGGGGGTTGAACGACCCTTTCACAGGGGTTGCCTAAGACCATCGGAAAACACATATATAATTACATATTGTTTTTTGTGATTAATCACTATGCTTTAATTATGTTCAATTTGTAACAATGAAATTGGGGCTCACCACAACATGAGGAACTGTATTAAAGGGTCGCAGCATTAGGAAGGTTGAGAACCACTGCTCTAAAACATCAGAGATGGCTCCCAGCCTAGAGGGGAGATGGACAGTGAGACTAGGGAAATTGGAGCATGGCGAGAAGCGTCTCTCTGACTTTTACTGGAAATGCCCAGAGCAGAGAGGCAGGAGGGGTCAGGGGAGACTTACAAAGAAGGCCCAGGGGACAGGGTGTGGCTGACACCTCCGGACAGCTTCTGGATTGCCGTCTCTCATAAGTAAACGCTTTAAGGAAACGTGGAGGCACCTGAGAGGTGTCCATTAACGAATAACGAGGTCATTAATCATTGTGTGATGGGAGCTTAATTCTAGGTGGGAATCCAAGGTCATAATGGCGACCTCTCCCCCGAGGACAGCTATGAGGCTTCAGGACAAGCACGTGAGGGTGGACAGGGAGACAGTGGGGCATCGGCACTCCGCTCTCACAGGCTGTAGAAGGTTCTGCTGGACCTGTGTTCCCAAAAGGGCTGGACAGTGCTGACCACCTCTCCTTGTTCTGCTCCGTGATGCCCGCTGTGGGCTGACCTGGCGGGTGTGTGCAGCGGTTCACAGAGGAGGCAGAGAGAAACTGAGGGACCTTATGACTTTGATTGGATTTAGCTTTAAATTCTAGCTCTAGAAATCATAACTCTCTCTACCCCTCAGAGACCTAGCCTTTCCCGGGATAACCAGCAACCACCGAGGCAGCAGAAGACAGCACCAGACCTGACTAATGTCCCAGGTCAGGCCTCCGCAGGCTGATCACATCTTCACCTGAGCTCCGTTCCAGCTCCTGAGCCCTCAGGTGGAACGACCCTCTGGCTACTTTCCCACGAACCCAGACAGAGGGACCGGGAGCAGACCTCAGAGTGACCTCAGACCTGCAGAAATGACTCATCACCCCCTCACCTCCCACAGTCAGCTCCCAGCACCCCCTGGGCCCCTAACCCTGGTGTCTGGTGACTTTGCCTACAGAATCCGTCCCCTACGCGCCATCGGAGCTCGGGCTTTGGCGCATCACCTTCCACT